TATAGTTTGCATGGTTTTTTAGGCACCTACTCACTAAACCAAATATGAAATTAGAGAGACTGTTTCAAGCGGGAAAAGTATTTGCACTAAATGTCCTTTTGGTTTATATCTGCAAGGCAAGACTTCCACGAATATCAAAAGATATGATTAGAAATAGGCCAAAATTAGAAAGTCTCTTCTAAACCCTTGTGTATTGCTGCAATAGGGCGTATGCCCCTCACTGGCCCTTTAAGGGGTTAAAACCCAGCTCTGGGTGGGGGCTGGAAGGCTGAAGCTATGGAGCAAGCAGCTGCAGCCCATTACTGCCAATTAGGGCCCAGCTGTGGGCTGTATAAATAAGGGCTCCAGGAGGGAGGAAGGGAGAGACTCACTCTTGGTCTGGCTGGGGAGTAGGAGGGACCTAGCTGCCAGGGAAGCTAGAGGCATCCTGATTTAGAGTACGCCTGGGGAAGCTCTGGCCAGGCAAGCAAGGCCTCAGGGTACTAGGGCTGTGGGGAAGCAACCGGGACAGGCAAAAGCAGCCGGTCCATACCTTCTTGCCAATGTTGAGTGGCCATTTCAGAAGGCAGTTTGCCCCTGTGGCCTGGGCTAGATGAAGACCGCTAGTGGGTCACTGAGGCAAGGTGGGTGTAGGGGGAGGACTCCAGAGTGGGGAGGCACTGTGGCAGGGCAGTACCCAGGTAGAAGGGCACCATGGTCTGGGAGAGAGGTCGGGCCTCATCTAGAGTGGTGGAGAATAACGGTATCAGTGAGTGAGACACCAGCCAGAAGGGGGCACTCCAGCACCAAAAATGCTAATTCCCTGAGTGACCAGCTGGAGGCTCTCATGGTGCTGAGTCCACCCTGTTACCATTGCACAAGAGTGTAGATCCACATTCCTCACATCCCACTTTGCGTCCATTGCAGGTCAGATCCCAATTGAAAAAAGCAAGTGGGTTATAGCCAAAACGCTACAAGTCATTGTCACCAGGTCTTCAGCTACAATTGCAGAAATCTCACCAGATTTTAATGCCCATACATCCAAAACAGAGCCCACGTCTTAATTCGGGTTTGAACCTAGACCAAATGTAATGGAGAGCTGAACACCATCACCTCACGCAGAAGCTGAAATTGATTCTATTCCAGGAATTGTTTTGGTGACGTTCTATGGCTTGTGTTCTACAAGAGGTCAGACTAGATGCTCACAGTGGTCCCTTCGGGCCTTGGAATCTGGGCATCTAGGAGCAATAAGAGAGCAGCTCAGAATGATAAACCTGTCAGGGATGTGACAGTGGGATTTCTAGGTCCTACGTCATGCTGTGGGTGTCTCCCCAATAAGCTAATCCTATTATCCGCAGTAAACGATCATTGTAGTCCAGTGGTCACCAACCAGTCGATCGGGATCTACTGGTTGATCTTGGAGCCTCTGACAGGTGATCCTGACTGGTTTGGCCAAGAGGCTACGAAGTGCAGCACGTCAACTGCCCCTCCCCCCACTGCTGTGCATCTCCTGTCCTTTGCCTTGGAGCTGCCCCCCATCATCCCAGAGCCTCCTGTTTGCTGTGCAGAGCAGGGAAGGGAGAGGAGGGGGTGCTGATGTCAGGGGGCCCCCCTCCCACCCTGTAGTCTGTCTCCACAGAACGGATGTGGGGGGCACAGGGCTTGGGATGGAGGGAATTTACTGGATGCTTTTCAGGGCAGGGGTGAGCCTGCCTTAGCCCCATTGCACCACCACCCATGAGCCCTCTGAGATAAGCAGTGTCCAGCTGGAGCCAGCTCCCAACCTCTGCCCCAGTCATGAACCCCCTCCTACACTCCAAGCCCCATCCTAGCCTTGAGCTCCCAGTCCCAAACTCCCTTACAGAGCCTGTACCCTGAACCCCCTCGTGCACTCCAACTCCCTGCCCCAGGCTCAGCACAGAGCCCCTTTCACACTCCAAATCCCTTAGCCCAAGACAGAACCTGCACCCCAACCCTCTGCCTGGTCAAAGGAAGGGAGGACAGGGGAGGGAGGGAAGATGGAGTGAGCAGGAGTGAGGCCTCGGAACTGCTTAGCCACCCAGGGGAATGAAGGAGATGGGGCAAGGGTGTTTGTGTTTGAGGTAGATCTTTGTGGAGACCACTAATGTAGTCAGTGCTGCGGTCCTACGACATGGAATATTTCGTCATTGGAGTAAGTTCAAAGACTTGTATTCGGTACATCATGTTGGTGTTCACAGAAACGTGTGGATGCCTGCTTCTTAATTAAGGTTACTAATATTGTCGTGTACAAATGCATTGAATTTGGAAAGGATTTTAATGCATCCTAATTATTTCCCTGTGCAGAGCTCATAGCTGAGAGCTAAGAGCAACTATAGCAAGTATTAACAGCTACACCTCACTGAAGATTCCAATAAAACACAGCACTTAAGAAATGACTGCTTCATACAGCTTGACACTGATCCTCTTGCCAACTCTTCTCTTAGGGTATGTCTACACTAGCCCCCTAGTTAGAACTAGGGAGGCTAATTTAGGCATTCGAAGTTGCAAATGAAGCCCGCAATTTAAATATCCTGGGCTTTATTTGCATCTTCCCGTCCGGGCGCCATTTTTAAATCCCCTTAGTCCGAACTAACTTCCCGCGGCTACACACAGCAGTCAAATGTTAACTTGAACTAAGTCATTAGTTCGAGTTAACTGTTACACCTCATTCTTACTTCTGGGTTGGGGAGTTTATGGCAGGAAAACCTCAGTGGTTTCTGAACTCCCCCACTAGCCTTCTCACCAATCTGTCAGGTTTTCGACCTAAGTATAGTCCACATGCTGGTGACATGAGTCTATGATCTCCTCTTGGTCACAGAATCATAGAATAATAGGGATGGAAGAGACCTCAAGACGTGGGCAGTCGGTGAAGGCATGAGCCTCTCCCGCTTCAGCTAAAAACCAGCTGTCTCTCAGCTAAAGCTGTAGAGCTCACTCATTCTCTCTCTCTCTCTGTAAGGGGTCTAAGTGCCCCTAGATGGGACATGAGCCACACCCAGCAGGCATGTGGGTTTCACTAGGAGAAAAATTATTTTGGTGTGAAGCTATGAAATGCTCACTTTTTAGCTTAATTTTACTTCTGTGAGTAAATTAAGACACAAATTACGGCCCTGTTTCTTCAAAAATGTTTGCATGTGCTTATCTGTAACCAAGTGAGTGGTCTTCTTTAAACCCATGGGAGTTATGGCGGCAGTGTGGCCTAGTGGCTAGATGACTGGATTGGGACACAGGAGTCTATTGCCGGCTCTGCTTCTGGATGACCTTGAGAATGTTACTTAGGCCTAGATCCATAAAGAGATTCAGGCACCTAAAGACTACTTTTCAGCCTTCGTTATAACCATTAGCCCATCTCATTAGCTTATTCACCTAGGGTACATCTACACAGCAGCGTCATTTCGGAATAACTGAAGTTATTTCACAACAACAAAATGCGTGTCTACACAGAAGCCGTTATTTTGAAATAATGTCAAGATGGAGAACTTCTTACTCCAACTCCTGAAACCCTCATTTCATGAGGAGTAAGGGAAGTCAAAGGAAGAGGGTTCTCCCTTCGACTTCCTGCAGTGTAGACAGCGCCAAAAGCTGAATTAAGCTACTTAGACTTCAACTACACCATTGACGTAGCTGAAGTTATGTATCTTAATCCGACTTTTGCCCTGCTGTGTAGACGTGCCCCTAGGAGGTAAATGACCCTGGGTCAGTTCACCCTCTGAGGAGAAGAAGGGATTTCAACAGGGCCAAAGGAGAGTGTCTATGCTATGGGACATTCTGTCGTGGTGCTCTCTCAGTTTCTTCTGGTGAAGCTATTCCACTTTGGATCAATAATTAAATATGCCTTGGGCCGGAGAGAGTTTGAGAATGACTCTGACTCCGCAGTCCATTGCTAGGGGCATCTCCTGTTCCTCTCCCTTCTCATCCAGAGGGAGCAGTTCATCAGGAGTATCCCCTACCTCAGGCGTGTACCCTAATGACTGGGCTAAAGGTTGTAAGGGAGGCCTTCTCTCTCCCCTTGTCCCTGTCCCCCGCCGTTTTGTATGGAGTTAGGCATGTGCTGCCATTTCTCCCAAGAAATGGCTCAGGCTTCTGATTTCAGGAAAGGTTTCCCAGCCATGGATCACAAGGGGAGGTAGACATTCACCTATGTGAGAGGGGACATTGAGGCAGCAGCAGTGACCAGGAACCCGGGTCCTTTACATCACCCCGCAGCATGCTCTGGACAGCTCGCAGGACTGGCTGCCCACAGCTCCGCCCCTTCCACCTGAGGTCCCGCCCCTCCCAACGTCACCAAGGAGCCTATCGAGGCAGTTGCCCCCCCGCCTCTCTGAGGATTAGAATACATCTCTCTCAATGGCATCTCACATTGGTTAATTTAGGCAGCTCCTTGCCTACTGTGTTAGCTTTTGCGGATCCCACTTTCAGGCATCCCTCTCTCTCCATGCGTTGTAGAGGAAGCTAACCCACCGTTTATGAATTCCAGTGATTTTTTTTTCAAGGTGCCTCAGTTCCTTTTGGGATCTGAGTTTTAATTTCTTTGTGCCTCAGTTTCCCCATCTATAAAATGGGGGCAATGATTCTGACTTCCTGCATAAAGCACTTTGAGATCTACTAATGAAAAGAGCCAGGTATAATAATTATTATTTATTGCTCCCAGAAGTAAAATTAAGCACATGCAGGGTTTTGGTGCCTATGACTGGCATCAACAAAACAAACACAATGTAAATGTTGCATTCGCCTTCAGCTTTGCAATGATAATTAATACATATGATAATTAGGATCAAGCTTTGTGTGATAATTAATAGGTGTATGGCAATTATTAGGTGCATCCTAGGGATAGCCCTAAAGTGATCAACTGAATACATGCACCAAATCATGTACAAATGACAACTGGAAGTGGGTGAGTTTGTACATTTTCCCCCTCCTGCTTGTAGGGTCCCCATGCTATAGGTTATTGCGCCCCTCAGACATGATTTAAGACAGTTTGTGTTTTGTTTTTGTTCCAGTTACAAGTTGAACTGGATCAGGAATATCAAGACAAATTCAAAAGGCTCCCTCTGGAAATTCTGGAGTTTGTACAGGATGCGATGAAAGGGAAAATCAGTGACGATGGAGACCACAGTTCTACCCCTTCCTCCATGCCATCTGACAGTGGAAAAATGAATCATAAACCTCTGCAAAACGAAGAGGAAACAGAAGAAAATAATCCAGAGAAAATGTTTGATACTCCTTTTTAACTCCCCATGCAACAGTTATTGTGCCAGGGCATGCTACCCCTACCCCCCTGCTGCCCATCCTCTGTTTTCCTGTTGTGAGCTGCCACATAACAGCTTCTAAATGCAGGAGGCACCTGTATTGAAGTGCACATTTTAAAAAGAAATATTTTATAAAGGTATTGTGCAAAGGTCTTCATTCTCGTTCATTGCTTTATTATGATACTAAAGCTTAGTGCAGTCAGAGTAGGGAATGAATATGTTAATACTACCCCCAACCCCAATTTACAATGGGTAATTTTTAGGCCAATTGCACTGTTAAGATAGTTTAATGAAGACCAGTGTATTGTACAGAGGCAAATGTGCACGGATTTCCTTTTAAAGTGCCAGTGCAGTGTGTCCCAAACTTAATACTGACCTTACAAAATTATATGACCATACTTAACCGTTTTTATTTCCTACTTTCTAACTGCACCTTGACAGCTGTGTCATCATGTTACATTTGCACTGAAACATTTGATCCTTTTTAGTTTTGCAAGCACTGGTGGCTTGCCATCTTGCTATTATGTTTATCACGTGGAGAGAAATATATTTGCTGCTGAAAAAAATCCTTCATTGGAAATATGGTGATTAGAGTAAGTTTAAAACCAAGAGTTGGACTCCGTCTGCATAGAGATAGAGTGTGTGGGTTTGTCTGTCGTCTGTCTGTGTGTGGTACACTTTTGTGAATGCATCTGTATTTATGCACATGCATACACACACACACATGCATAGAATGTATGTATTTGCAGTCTGTCTGCTCTCAAGACAAAACAAAAGGTTTCAGGGAAACGGAAATAGAAAACCTTTATAGATCATAACCTCTGGGTTACAGTGATATTACACAAACATTAAATTATAACAATCTTGTTGTGGAGTTGGTGGTGTAAATTGAAGAACATTTAGCAAATAAATTTGATATATATTTTGCAGACTTGAAAGTATTGATTTTAAGTATCATATTTTATGCTTACTAAATTTGATAAGAGTTATAAAAATGTTTAAAACTACAGGATTTGAAAATTTAAGAACATCTTCCATCTTTTTTAAGCCTGCAGTTCAATTTTACTGATATCTGATGTTTAAAAGCAAGTTTTAAAACCCCACCATTCTGATAGTTAACAGTTAATCTATTTATCTTTACTTTAACATAAGAACTATCCAAGTTTATGTACTGTATGATATCCATGAGAGAAATAAACTGCATATTTTCAGAAAGCCATATAAAATAATTAGTAAGACTTTCTGAAAAAAAATCAAGATATTTGAAAAGGGAAAGAAAAATATTATTCTCTGGCATCCCCAATTAAAGAGGACATAGGGTATGAAAATATTTATGGCCTGATTCTCATTTACTCTAAGGCCACTTTATACTGCTCACCTCATGTAAAGGAGTCCTAATGTGAGTATACATATAATTAATTCTCTTCTACTTTACAGCCCCTTTATAGTACCAGAGCAGTATTTATAGTGCCAGAGCAAAAGGGCCACTAGGCTACATCTTCACTGTGAGTTCTTCTGGCAGAAAATATGCTAATGAGATCGTGACTTATGCTAATGCGTCCCTCCTTAGCATAGTTTCTGCGGGAAGAACTCGCAGTGAAGACGTAGCCTCAGTGTAAATGAGAAACAAGCTCAAAATGTGTAGATTTTCATACTTAGACCACAGTCCTGCAAGCACTCGCACAAGTAACTTTATACACGATTAATCCTATTGGATTCAATGAAAGTCCTCTGTGGGTAATAATGCTTGCATCCATGTTTGCAGGATTTGGGCTTTAACTTGTATTTTTAAATAAATACATTTAAATGGTCTAATAGTAACATAGCAAAGTATTTTAATATAATAGCAGTTAAGTTACTTTACTTGCTTTCCCTCAGGATTTTAGTATTTTAAGTAACTTATTTTATTTAAATTTAAGCAATAAATACCGATCAAGCTTAAGTTTTGAGTTAAATACTCTATGTGTATATATATATAAGTTCACATTTTAGAAAACAGACAGTATTCTGATGTTTCTTTTTTAAACCTAGAGTAGGCAGAAAGAAAAATTGTACATCCTTTGGAGATCATATTTTGGATTAAAGTATTCTGGTTGATGATGATTACACTAATTTAATTACCATAAAACTCAAAAGTCTGACTTTCAGCTTGATTTTAGAATTAACATTCTACTTTTGCACTTTGAAGATTGACATTCAATAAAAACTTAGAATGGAAATTTAATGCTGCATTTTATAAACTGAAAATGAAATAGGTTGTTGGAATTATAGAATGGATATATTAATAGCAGTGTTCACAACAATACTGAAGACTATTGCGTTATAGTAATCATTGCCTTTGGGTAAAAATCATGACTCCCCTGAAGTTCATGGGAAAATTTCCAGGGATTTTAGGGTAGCCATGGCTTTACCAGTAGTCTTCAAACAGACTTGGGCAAATACAAATTAGCCTTTTGTTTATATTTTTAAAAAGTTAATGATTGGACTAAGTATACTATCAGTTGTAGTCATTTTACAGTATATTTGTATTTGATCATTTACTGTATTCACATTTTTTATATCTGTACAGTGCTACTTTTTGCAGTTGTAGGGTAGTGTGTAATACTGTACACCTTGCATTGTTCAGATTATTACAGTCATACAGATATCATTTAATATTACTTGAATAAGTAAGGTAATGAAAAAGGGTCTTTATGATGTGCAAGTCTTGTGCCTTTTATGTATTTGCCTTGTTATGTGTTGAATGTGTGGAAATGCTGTACTGTGGACCTTTCATTTGTATAGAATAGAAATCTCTATATTAAATTAGATTGTGCACTTCAAATATCTTTACACTACTGAGAATAGATTGGTTTTGGCAGTGTAAGCAGAATTTTAAAAGTTCTAATGAAATGCCGGACATTTTGGATTTAACATGTTCATAATTATGTTAATTAATGCTCATGTATTATTATTATTATGCATTCATTAAAAGATAACTAAAGGGACATTGCTTGCCTTTCTTTCAAATCAATGTTGCTCTTGTACATTGTATGAATAGTGTCTTGTGATTGATTGGACTTTGGTGATTGGCTTTCAAAAAAAATCAGACAAATATTTCGGTTAATATGTACATATTTTTGTTTCTCAATCTGATTGTTTATGATGCATAATTCACATTTTTGTAAGAATTCTATGCAATTTTGTGGCATGATGTTTCTTCCATTTGTAATTTTATGTGCTTTCATCACAGATCCAAAGGACAATTAAAATTTTCTTAACACAAAACTGTTGCTGTGTTTGTTTATTACTGGCTCTAAGAATTTACTTTCCACCTGCTGAGCCCTTTGGTGACTAAAGGGGTAATTGTATGAGAGGCAGATAATGAATCTTTCCTGCATGTTCTCGGTGCTCTCTTTACAGAGAGGAGAAAAGAAAATGTCACACAACCAAAAAAAAAAAAAAGATATATTTGCCAAAGTTCTAAGCCAGTAAAGCACAGGAAAGAAAACATGCTTTCTAACTGCCTCTCTAGAAAGCAAGTGATTATGTTACATGGCAAGCTTTTATAGAATGGGGAAAAGGGAAATAGCAATCAATATAAAACTAGACGTTACAAAGCATAGAAACTTGATAAGGGAAGATATCAGAGAAAAAAATCCATGGCTGGCTGGGCCAGTTACAATAAGGTGTCTAAGTATATTTTAGTGCCATGGGGCATATTAGGAGGACCACTGCTGGAGGCCTCACAGTCCTGCTTCCCCCTGCCCCAGAGGAGCATATGAGAAAACCTCCAGTCAGTCTAGAGAGGCCTCAGGGGAAGCAGCGAATCAGCAAGGCTGCTGGAGTGGCCAATCGGGCCAGGAGGTCCAAATAAAAAGAAGCTGTGGAGCCCGAGTAGTCAGTTACTGCCTGGAGCTGAGAGAGGAGTGGAAGGAGGCGGGTGCTGTCTAGAAGACCAGCAGGACTGAGCACTACCAAAGCCTAGAGAAGCTGAGCAGGAGTTTTTGACTGGCTGTAAGAACTGACCAAGGGCTTGGCCCAGAGCCTAGCCAGAGCAAACAAGGGTACTGTGATGGGCCCAAATGGTCTGGTTAAAGACGGAGCCCACCAAGGGCACACTATTGAAGGATACTATGATAGACCCTGTTGGAGTGCTACAGAAGCAATGTCTCCTCTGAGGAAGCCTTGATAGAAGGTAAAAACAGAGTTTTTGTTCTGTTCCACTTGCTGGATGCGTGAGATTTGGCTGGCGGGTTGAGTCACTAAAGCTCGACTGAAGAAACCAGTGGCGGGAGGTTGCTCGCAAGCTGACGCCATTACACTTAAGAACAAAAGTAATACTAGCAATAGTATAGACCCATTATTAGCTGGAGATGATACAATTGTAATGACAATGCAGAAAAAGGAGAAATGTGCAAGCAATAGCTCCATTCTGTATCGGGAAAGAAGCGGAGTGATGTTACTAAAGCTCGACTGAAGAAACCAGTGGCGGGAGGTTGCTCGCAAGCTGACGCCATTACACTTAAGAACAAAAGTAATACTAGCAATAGTATAGACCCATTATTAGCTGGAGATGATACAATTGTAATGACAATGCAGAAAAAGGAGAAATGTGCAAGCAATAGCTCCATTCTGTATCGGGAAAGAAGCGGAGTGATGTTAAATTGGCAGGCCCAGAAAACTTGCCTCCAAGGGTGTGTCTAGACTACATGCCTCCTTCGACGGAGGCATGTAGATTAGCCAGATCGGAAGGATTATTTTAATCGCGGCTTCATTTCCCTTTTCCGATCTGGCTAATCTACATGCCTCCGTCGAAGGAGGCATGTAGTCTAGACACACCCCAAGAGTTCCAAGTGAGATTATCTCTGGCTGCCATGGGGCACAACTCACCACTGCAGTGCCTGCTGCTGGTAGCCCCAGGGAATTAGCTTAATCAGCAGCAGGTCGCTTCCTTAAAAGCTCCTCTCCAATTGGCCAGGGCAAGTTCCCTCCAGCCCGACTTAACCCCTCCTGGTCAGTGTGGGGCAGTCAACCCACCACACTGGCCCTTTGCCAGATTTTAATAAATCTTGGGATATCATGGAAATTGCAGAAGGCAGGAAAAGTGTGAATGTTGTGCCAGTTTTCTAAAACGGCATGTAGGATGACCAGCATAACTATAGACCAGTTAGTTTGATCTGAATCCTCAGCAAACTGAGGGTGTGTCTAGACTACAGAGTTTTGTCGACAAAAGTGGACTTTTGTCGACAAAACTATACCTGCGTCTACACTACCGCTGAGTTCTGTCGACATAACGTCGACAGAATTCAGCAGTTTTGTCGACGCTGGTAAACCTCATTTTACGAGGCATAACGCCTTCTGTCGACAGAGTTCTGTCGACAGAAGGTGTTATTGCATCTAGGGTTGTGTCTAGACTACACGGTTTTGTCGACAAAGCAGTTTGCTTTGTCGACAGAACTGAATGTAGTCTAGACACTCTTTGTCGACAGAAGTTTTGTCGATAGTATCTGTCGACAAAACTTCTGTTGACAAAAGCCTGTAGTCTAGACATACCCTTAGTGAAAAGCTGATATGGGACTCAATTACTGAATTGAAAAATAAAGGATAGGAATATTGAAAATACGCATTGTCAGATGTGATTTTTTTTTTGAGATTTATAAGACTGATCGCTGCAGATGTGATACATGTGGTAATATTTTTATGAACTAGTTGTATACCTCTGGTATCCTTTCATGGAGGAGTCTCTAAGTTCTCCCTATGACAAGGTAGATTTCAAGTACAGCACCCCATGACTTGTCTGGGCTCATGAGCAGTGTAGAAAAAAGCCTATTTCCTCTGCCATCCCCGCAGCAGCGCTGTGGCTCATGGTGTCGGCATGGCCATACAACCTGTGGTGAGAAGTATCTCTGTCATCAAGCCAGAGTCTGTCAGGCTTGATGACAGAGTCTGATCTTTGCCCTAGATCAGAGCTACAGACTGGGTTAGACCGAATACGTAGGCTGTGAAGATTCCCATCTTCCAGGATGCTTAGGAGACCGGACTATAAGTTACTGAAGAGGTCTCAGAGGTGGGGGTCAATGATTTGCATAAGAACATATGATGTCATCTTTTGGGCCTAGTGCCGTTAACTGCTTAAGCCTGCTCAGCGGGGCCGACAGCCACTGTAGGCCCTGGGGTGGGGACTCATACAGAAGGGGAGGGGCCTTGGGCAGAAGAGGCATCGGACCATGGTGCACCCTTTCTGAGAGCCATACAGAGCTGCACTCCAGTGGCGATTTGAAGGGGCCCGGGGACAATTTCCCGCCCCCCTTTTTTTGTCCTCTTCCCCTGTAGGCGAGCCTGAGCCTGCTTCTCCATCTTATGAGGAAGAGCCAGACTCACTCTTTTTAGGAAGAGACATTTACAGATAAGAAAAGCTTCATTTACCTTCTATTTTTTAAACTACAAAAACTCTGTTTGGGCGAACCCTATTATATGAAGTGGGTGAGAAGAAAATTTGGTTTCATTCCTGCATGTTTCACTTGGATGCTACTGTAGCAACTAACTGTAGGAGAGAGAAAAGACCCTACCCTCTCCCCAGAACCTGTTCCTGGACATTTTCATGCCTTGGTTTCTCTGTGGTGAATCAGTCTGGCTTTAGCTGCTCAAACCTCTGAGATCTGCTAGTGTTTTCTAATAGCCTCACTTCTGCAAGGTCCTTACTGAAACTGAGAGGATGGGGAAGAGTCAAGTACCATGGCCAGATCCGTGCATGGTCAGAAAGTTAGCTACCTAGTATACCTGCCACTGGCTATGTCTACACTACAGAGTTTTTGTGGAAAAACAGCCGTTTTTTCCGCAAAAACTCACAGAGCATCCACACTGCAAGCACGTTCTTTTGACAGTAAATTGACAGTAAATCGAAAGAACAGAGGAGTTTTTGGTAGTCCTCTTTCTATGAGAAAGAAGCTTTTTTGCGAAAGGGTTCTTTTGCAAAAAGGCATGTGTGGACGGGGAACAGAGGGGTTTTGCACAAAAAGAGGAAAAAGCACAGGTGCCCTAGTGGCCATTCTGTGCATAGCAATCAGCGCTTACTTTCGAGAGAGCGTCCATGTAGTCTGGACGCTCTTTTTCGCAAAAGCGCATCGCTTTTTTTATGCGCTTTTGCAGTGTGGACGCGCTTTTGTGCAAGAAGTTTGTGCGGAAGATCTCTTCCACCAAAGCTGCTTGCGCAAGAAGCCTGCAGTCTAGACATCCACTCTGAGCTCCAGAGGAAGGTAGAACAGTCAATGGGAACTGGAAAGAAATGCCTTTCCTAACTCCAAATGTGAGGATCACTCTAACTTTTGTGGATGTGTCAAATGTCTCTCTGAGTTATAAGTGACATTCAGGTGCCATTTACACCTGGGTAAGTAATTATCTTTTTTTTTAATTTAGTTTTCATTTACAGTGCTTAATAAAATGAGAGACATGACTGTTTCCAGTCCTGTGTGGTTATTGCACCAATGCTCTGCAGGTTAACTTCACTACTGGTGTAAGCCCCTACAGCACCACCAATGTCAATAGAGCTGCTCCTGTTTGGGCCAGCATAGACAGTAATCCAGAGGTTTGGACCTTCAATCCCTAATTGGTATTATATTTAACTCGAGCTCCTCTGTTTTGTGACTCTTTCTGCTATTGATCTTTTTTATATTACACAGTCCTGGAAATTGGAAGGAAATCTCCAGGTATCTCCCTTAATAACAATAAAATAATGGCTTCTCCCTCCCCCACCCCCGGGAAATCCAATTTAGAGCTGTCGCAAGCTCTGTGCTGGAGTCATCTGATGAACAGCAGCAGTGTTCTGCCTGTTTTCTAGTTTAAACAATCAAAAGTGAAGTCTCTCAAATTCCCAGCTCATCATTCCAGCAGCAAATCAGGGCGTTTGATAACTTTCAAGTACCAGAGGGGTAGCCGTGTTAGTCTGGGTCGGCAAAAGTGACAAGGAGTCCTGTGGCACCTTATAGACTAACAGATGTATTGGAGCATAAGCTGTCCTGGGCAAAGACCCACTTCATCAGATGTATGTAGTGGAACTGACAAAATACCCAATAGCCTTTTTTAGCCGACTTAAATGCTGCTTAGGATCCCAATCCTGCCTAAAACTACAGCCGTGCATAGCGACGAAGCACCACTGAGGTCAACAGGGCTCTGTGTGGGCTCTCATTGCTCCCAATGCAGGCTCAGGGCCTTTCTTCTGATACCCTCACTTATATTGGGTAGAATCGGACTCTCCACTGGGTTCCGTTGGGCTATGTC